CGAGAGCTCCCGTCGTGAGAATTATATTTTCTCTGTAAGCGACTTCCGGAGCTACAACGCAGCCCAGCAGTTCTCCATACCTTTACCAAATCAATAGGAAGACCCTTGTTCCCTTTGAACTCACTCGGACGATTTATGTCCTCTGATTTTCTCCACTTCAAAATCTCGAAGGTTTACCACACCTCGAGCGATTTCCTCGCCGGTTTCAGCCTCGACCAGCGACACGCAATCATCACGATGGAAACTGCCTGTGACGCGAGTGATCCCTACAACGTATTCACCAATAATAGCACTCTTGCAGCCTCGCCTTTACTACCCGCAGCGAATAGACTCTTCTTCCTTCTTATCGCCTCAGCAGCTCCCTTATCCAGGCTTATTACACCCCTAGTCTCGAGCCCTAGCATCCAACGTCTCCTCCAGGTCATTTTAGATACAGCGAACTGCATGCCATCAGGAGCAACTTTGAACACGGTCATGAGGCCCTTGCTAGATCCATCCCGGAGGTATTCCAGTACCTCAGCAACTTATTACCACATAAGGACAGCCCCCTACTACTACTACTACTACTATTACTACTACTACTACTACTACTACTACTACTACTACTACTATTACTACTACTACTACTACTACTACTACTACTACTACTACTACTACTACTACTACTACTACTACTACTACTACTACTACTACTACTACTACTACTACTACTACTACTACTACTACTACTACTACTACCTGTTGACGTGCACCATCCCATTGATAGTAACCCCCCGTCCCTGCCGACGCCGGTGCTGTTGCCTGATATTGCTGGGGGGTCGTAGTAGTACTATTATTGGGTGGCGAGGAGGCGAGGGAGTACTGTGGAGCGGCGGAAGCCACTACCCCCTGCTGCATGAACTGTGACGATGATGATGATGATGATGCAGTGCCGCCAACACCACCACCATAATATGCCATTCACGTAGTGGTAGCAAAGGAGGCTACTACGTCCGAGTGCTACCCATATAACAGCAACTCGACACGCCTGACTTGGCACCGCCCTTCAAAACGAACTCTATTGTAGAGTATTAGCCCCTACGGCCCATGAAGACTACTACTGATCAATTCCCTAATGCTAATCACGCATCTGCCCTCCTCAGATGCTTCTGGGGACTCTGCCCGATGTACTGTCACCAAACAAGGCCTTCCCAGAAGAGCAAACCCATAGGAAATTTATATTACCAGTAGTACTGCTCGCCGCACTAGGCTGAGAGGTAAACCTTATGGGAAGACCATCGAGCAAGGCGTACCTATAACAAGTTAGTGAACCAATCCTGTAAAAATCAGAACATGAACTACCATGAACAACGGAAAGCATTGGCACACTGTAACACTGGGCTGAGATAAGGGTTGAGGAAATGGCAGGATAACACCTAGGTAAATATAACAACTTTTACGGAGAGAAAAAGAGTCTATATAAGGGACACTGAGGCAACGACGAGGGACGATCTTCAATAACAACAACACGAGGCCACGTGGCATCGTCAATGCGAACAGTACAGCGACACTGAGCAACCCTCACTGGCTTCCGTCCCGAGAAATGAGTCCTGCAAGAAGGTCGAAAATTATTGTATAAGGCTATACAAAATGCTACTACCGCTACCATCATCGATCCCTCGTAATCATCATCTGTAACATCAAACATTGTGGGAAAATAGCGCCGACAACAAAGACATCGCCATCGGCAATATGACAAGATGCTACCCTTCCGAGGTGGCCGTGTGATGATGCATAGAAATCACTGGAGTTATAGTGACAAGAGTGTATAGTGTGAAATGGTGTCACCATCGGCCACCCCACCTGACGAAGAGGTTAAGTACTAACAACGATGAAGATACAATACTAGTCTGAAGGGGAAGGCAGTAGCCTTCTTATAATCTTACAAGATTGTGGTAATCAACGAGGAAGATCACCATACCCTTGGATCACCATACCACTCCTACTCGAGACTCAGCATATTCAGAGAGTCCAACACCAAACGGTCCGTATCACATGGTTGCCAGTCCGGGCTTTGGAGCATGTTGTTGTGATGGTCACCCTGCTCCTCCTCGACAAGCCTTGCAGAGGTTCCTGTCATACTCGACATACCACCATATTGTCCACCGTTAGCACCAAACAACAGAGTAGGGGCCGACACGAAGCTGCTGGTGTCATCGAGGGGCATGGTATCCCATAATAACGACTCCAACCCCGGGCCGCTAGGGACACTCGAAATGGTGGGCACCCACGTGTCACTAGCCGTAGAAGTCGTCGCTGGCAACTGCGAATTCTCATGGATGGTCGTAGGCTGTTTTGCATGGTGGCCTCGTTTGCCAGCTCGGATCTGCATTTGGCGCTCTCTCCTCATCTGCGCCAGTTTTTTGAAGGGGATTTGCTCGTTATGGTCGCCAAACACCAACGGGAGGGCATCGTCATCATCAGCAGGCGTGCAGTCGAGGATGGGGGAGTTGATGAGCCTATTGACATTCGCTTGCAGACCCTGAACTCGAGCGTAAACGACCTCGCATACCTTACTACTCTTGACCCCAGGTAGTCGGGAATTCTTAAAGGCGTTGAAGAACATATGAGTGTACTTGGGCTCAGTGACGTTGACGAAAGCATAGCCGAAATTGCACCGCGAACGGAAGTCAATTGGCATATACACAAAGTCAAAGGACCCCACCGGCATACGAGCCATCACCTCGTTGACCAGGAGCTGCCGAGTGTACTTATTGGGAATGTTCTTTAACATGAGAGTTGTGCGTGGATCAGAAGGGTCCATCGTGATGGCATTCGAAACGTTGGGTTGTGACCTCCTCCTCAGTCGAGCACTCGATGATGCCAGCCCCGGCTTATGACTTGCCGTGATGCCTCTAACAGATCGACTCACTTGAGGTAGCGTCGCAGTAGTGTAGGGGTCAGCTGATGGCATCGAGTATGTCGCATTTCGTCCTCCAGCACTAACAGGGTTCATCACGCTGATAGGCGCGAAAGGCTCTGCTTCGACGCTCCCCATGCCAGGAGGAGTGCTCATCGGTGAACTCGACGGAGGCATACTATCTGAGAGAACTACTCCAAGATGTTGGTCATAGTAAGAGTGTTACCTTGACTAGTCCTAGGAGTTGATGAGCTCGCGGGGATATGCGTGTCCGACCTTTGCCGTTTCGCAACTATCTCCTCGGCCAACTTCCATATATCTTCTAGAGTCTGCCCCGATGACCTTATCTCGGGGTTTGCCAGCAACATTGCTGCTGTCTGAGGACCCAGTGGTGACACTACTACTACTACTACTACTACTACCACTACTACTACTACTACTAATACTACTACTACTACTACTACT